GAATGGAATGGAGTCATTAACATCCTCCCGTGCTTCCCGCTCCCTCCTACACTCCCCCTCTGGCTTCCCAGCTGTATTTCCTCATTTACTGTGACGCAGTTCAGGAGTGAGACAGGCAAACTTATTATCAGATACTGTTCTTCATTTCTTTTACAGTCTGTGGGGAAATCCTTATGCTAGCTTATTCTCTGTCAATCTTGACTTTTTTGAATCACGTAGGGAACATACAAATACAAAAATGATTGGGTTAGATGGTAAGACACATCTTCGGGACTGACTCATGTTCTCTAACCTTACCATTTGGGACAGCGACTTGTCCCCCAACCCGGCCTCACACATTCTCAACTGCTGAATGCTACAAACAGCAACATCATCCTGAATTTGTCTTCTGCCTTCCAAGCGCTTTGGTGACCCAATAAACCACCGTGCTTGATAAACCACCAAATAAACTGTGCTTGGGGTGTCACATCCATGACAGGTGCAGGTCTGCACTATTCTTTGGCAGCCTACAGAACAAGTGGGTGTGAAAATGTCATTCCTGGAGTAGAAGACAAAAGCCTTCCAAGTCCCCCAGGTTTGGAGTGCTGTGCCTTTGAAGTCATGAGTCGCTTTGCTTAAGGTGTCACTGAGCAATGGCTGAACCAAGATTCCAGCATAGCCCACTGCAGCTGAAATATGACTGAAATGGCCAGGACTCCAAAGGCAGACAACTGCCAGTGATGATTTCATGTCACGCGGTAAATTAATGGTGACAGCGACTCCTCGGAGCCCTGGCGAATTGGAAATTGCTTGATGCAGGAACAGTACAATGATAACACAGTTAATCTTCCGCGGGGAAATGATAGTAAAAGAAATGGCTTTTAGATTAACTGTCATTAAAGTGAAACATCTGCCTCTGCAAGTCAAGTGGAATGTCCTCACTTCCGCACAGAGAAACTCATTAAAGTTACTGGGTTCGCGTGGCTGTAGGCCAGAGCCAGATTTCCACCACGATCTAAATCTGGGAAGCACAGTGAACTAGACTGAAAGTCAGGAAGATGACCTCTCAGGTGATATATCAGCTTCAAAAATGTATTTAATCAGGTGCTGAAGTTGGCTGATGTGTTTAGATTCTCTTAGTACCTGGGTGCACATAACTAAATGAAATAGGAGAAATAAATGGGAGTGGTATGATTTTAAAGGAGACAAAACCTTCTGAGATCTCAAAAGTTCAAATTTTAGCTCTGTCTGAACTCTGAGGAAAAGCTTCCAGTTGAATATTTGGTTCCAAGCAATTTGCCATCATTTCTAAGCTGTTCTTTCACTGCGGGGTTTAAGGTCAGGAAACTTTCAGTTGTGTAACTATTCGTGGTGCAAATATTTTCACACCTGATTTTCCTTTTATATTCTTGTAAGGAATGGTGAGTACTTCATAGAGCCAAGACTGGCAGGCAATTGTTTGTGTAGAAATACTCTCAATCGTGACACCTAATGGCAGTTTAACGTTAAAGAAACATACAGAAATGACCACTGCAGTTTTTCTATCCAGATTCTTTCTTGCCAGAAAATTGGAGGTATCTAATGAAGTAGGTGGCTCAGCTGAGCGGTCCCAGGCCTTGTTATGGGTATGGCAATGGATAAGGATGAGATTTATCAGCCTATGTGATCCTATAAAGATGTCTTAAATCTTAAATAAAAGGCATCACCAAATGAGAAAGACACAATTAGCCTGAGCTATAACCGAAGCCGGTGATGGTGGCTGTCTATCAAAATTCTGGGTACTCGGACAGGAGTCCTTCCCTGCAGACTGCAGCGTGTTGATTTTCTGGAAGATACCAGTGGAGCTATGAGAACATGCAGGGAAGATTTTGGCCCATGGGTGCATGGGCTGGGCAGCAGCTGAAAGAGATGGGTCACACGTAATCCCCTCTGCTCCCCTGGCCTCCAGGAAATGAGTGTCAGAACGGGATGTGGCAAGCGTGAAATGGTGCTAGGCATGCCTAATGCTGCTCATCAAACTCCTCTCCCTGTGACTAATCAGAAAGATCTAGTTGATATTCCAAGAAATTAGTTGGAAGAGCAAGCACGCAATAGAGAAATAAAGAACAAATCAGAAGCTTAGGCACAGGCAAAGATGAGGACTTTGATCCCAGCAGTTTGTGGGCACAGAAAGAGGACAGAGAAGATAAGAGAAACAAATAAAAGTGCTGATGAGAACAGTTAGGATCTGCTGAGAGAAGCAGCCATTAATCTAGACCATGAGGAACAGATAAGACATTATGTGCCTTCCTCGTGCTTAAGAAACCAGCAGCCATAGGGACCTGAAAATAGTTTTTTCCTCAGCATAACTCTATCGCAATCTTGCAGGGATGCATGTGGTCCCTATTTTTACAGAAAAGTTATATCTTTCAGTTTGTAGATGTAGCCAACAATTGTCTAAGGATATAATTTCATGCTTGGAGAGAAACTATCCTGCAGCACCTTGGTGCCAGTCAGAAGGAAAAAGTATTCATCAGTGTTACTTGGCTTAGAGTCACAGTAACTCTTCTTGAATTTGAAAGGGAAAAAGCCCAGTCCTACCTGTACTCTTAGAGAAGGAAAAAAAAAGGAGAACGTGGAGAAGTAAAAAAAAAAGATGCAAAATGGTATCTCTGCCTATGGGGCTGATCACATGCAGCTTCACTCTGGAACGTTGCCTTTCAAAGAACAAGGTAACAAAAAAGAAAATGTTCCCTTTCCCTTTCATCCTAATCAAAGCAGGACAGCAGTTCTCAGTACTGCTTTAATCTTTGTTTTCAATAGTAGTTTCTATTTTTCCCCACGGTTGTATTATCACACTCCAAAAACACTGGGAGAATTCACTTGGCGCAGTCAAAACAAATAGAGGAGTCTGTTGTTTCGGGCCCCACCTCATTGTTTCGTTTTCGCACAGCTCAGGCTTCCCGCTTCCAAACCCAGCTGTGCAATCCCATTGCACAGATGAAACGCCAAACCACAGAGAAATTGGGTGTACGGGCACTATCTCTGTGTTCCCCCTAAGCCTGGCTGCACTTACAGGTTCATTATCTGCTCTGGCAAACTGAGGCACCGGGATCTGGAAGTCCAAGGTGAAGTCTGGAGCAGGGCTGCCCACATGTCCCAGATAACAGCCTATTAGTCACTAGATTGGATGTTTCATCTCTGTTGAGTCTCATCGTTCACATATCTGTGTTCCCCGGGAGAGAAAAACATTTTACTTGGCATTTGTCCTGCTCCACTGCCCTGTGTCGGTGCTGATCATTGCAAATCCACTAGGGTAGGACATTCAGGAGCAGTAGGTGTTAAGGCTAATTAAATAAATAGTAGGGAAATACATGGTTGTTATTCAGAATCTGCATGCTGTTTGTATGTTTTCCTTCACTACGATTGGAACCCGAGTGTTAGAACTAGATTGGTTTAGCTGGACGAAATGCTTTCTTTACAAAGGGGAGTTTACATACATCCACAATAATTTTAAAGAATACTTAATACACCTTTTTCTCACAGCCCTCTTGGTCACTTTTGTTTCACTACCTGAAACTCTCTAATCTTGCTGCACCTCGTTCACCGTCATGTCCTTTGACTGTTTATCATGAGCTTCTCATCTTTCCCTTATTCTTGCAGCCTCACGAACTAGAAAACAATCAGACACTACAGAATCCCAAAATGGATAAATTAATGTAGGCTACAGCTTGACACCTCGCGCTTAAGTCTTGTTCTCAGCTTTTTAAGTTCAGTATTTTTATCAATTTTTAGACCATAATCTGTGATTTTCCAGGCCTCTTCATAATGCTGCATTTCAAAATTGTGTTGTGCAATCTTATGAAATGTTTGGATTAAAAGTTCACTGCCAGGGCCATTCCTGATGCTGCATAATGCCACCGATTCATCCAACTGCAGTGCCTCGATGTACTGCTTAACTGCTGCTTCTTCCTCAGCCACGGACAGTAGCAGGTGCCCTTTTGAGCAGTGGTCCTCAACGCGTGTTTTAAGACTGCTACAGCCATGCTTCTGGATCACTTTCTCCATATCTTTCAAAGCTTTGTCATATTTTTTCAGGTGCATAAGGCAAGCAGCCCTCAGTCGGAGATAGCGTGGATTATCTTTGCCTGCCAAGACAGCCAGGGTGTAATAACCAAGAGCCTTCTCATAGCGATATTCTTTAATCAGCACATTTCCTTCCTGGGCTGCTACCTGTGGACAGAAAGTTACTTATTAGTAGTTATTAAAAGTAAAAAAAAAAAAAAAAAAAAAAAAGAGTGAAATATCTAGTCTGGACAGGCCACAGGTAGACACAGACTCTAAGAAATTTTGGATACTATTTCCAGTGTTGAAATTGCATCTAAGTGGAGAACGTATAACTGGCTTATTTTTTGCACGCAGATATAAAAATTGGGGATCAATGGGCACTTACTGTTATCTCAAGAGTCTCTGAACCCCTCTTCTTTGTTTCTGCGTGTTTTCCTAGAAGTTTCTCGGAATATTTCTTCTGAAGTTGTTTACATTTCTTAGGAATGATTTGTGAACTCAAAACTGAATGGACCACACTCTACAAGTAAACCGTGTTCTCTTCATGAAACGAAATTTCTGCCATGGTCTGCTCCACAAGGTGACTGCATGGAAATTGCATCTGCTGGTCAGCAGACAGTTATCGCCACGTACTGCCCCACAGATATCAGCATGTGCTAATAATGAAGGCTGGTCTCTACTGAAGCTGACCCCAGCTATAGGAAAAAGTACCCAACTGATGGCTTTGTTCATCACTAATCCCAAGTGCAAGTGAACTTTCTGCCCATATCCAAAGGGAAAAACAACAACAAGAAAATAGAGAAAGCAGAAAAAGCCACATAATTTTTAGGTTCATAAAGGCCAATAAAAAAAACTTCGTTAGAACTACTTGCCTCAAATGGATTTCTCATTATTTCCCTTTATTGGCCATAAATAAAGGTTTTAACATGCTGCAGCAGAGCGAGTATTTAAGTTATACACAAGGCTGCCACCAGGACCTTAGGTCTTACGGAAGGCTGAGCCAAACAAGCTGAGACTTCAAGCACAGGAGAAATGTTTCCACCAGTCTCAGTCCATGGGATATCACACACTACCTTTGAATGCTTGTGGCTCCCCAAAGTTCAGTTAGCCCAGCCACTGTCTCAGCAGTCACACCTGACAGCCAGCTCGGCTCTTCTCTTTGGGTGCCCTGGCTTTTCTTTGTATTGCCTTAGATTGGCATGGATGGTTGTTTAACAGAGCTAGAAAACAGGTTCTGGATGAAAGGGATCAATATTGCAGGTCACGTCAGAGACCAGCGGCATAAAATAATTTAGCCATTTCTAAAGGTTTACGAAGAACTTTACCCCAGTTATTTTGCTATAAAGCAATGTAAAATCCTTTATGTGGTCGTATTTATTAGAGAGTCTCTGAGCTTCCACGCACAGAAATAGAGATAGGATCTCTCCCCAACTGGCCAAGGCTCAATTCCTTAGAAAGAAAAAGAGAGAGGAGTTTAATGGACGTGGGATTATGGTCCAGTCTCTGAGCAGTAAATACCAGAAGATGGACTGATAAGCTCTGAGCTTTAGAAGAGGGTTGGATGTTTCCAGAACGGATTGGAGCGAGTCTTTCCTTCTTTACTTGCAGACCTTGTTTGGGGCCCACATGCCATGACAGCAGGTGGGATGGCAACTTCTGTCTAGGGCTGAGGGTCGAATTCTGACACCAGACATACGGTTTTGGTGACTGTTTTTGTAGGAGTCACGTCAACAGAAAGTGCAGCTCTGGGGATCTGGGCAGGGAGCTAGTGATCAGTTATGCGTTTAACCTCTGACGTAGGAAACTCAAGGGTTGAAGCTGCACCAGCAGCAAGCAAACTCCCTTCCTCTGACCTTTTGTAGTTTAATAAATCTTTCAGATTCCTATTCCCATGTGGCTCTCCCAGTTGTTTACAAATTTCTTAGCATGGGACCCCTTAGACTATAAATAATGGAAGAATTTTGTTGCTTTGTTTTTCATGAAAAAAAGTCAGTACATCAAGGAGCTCTCCTTCCTCCACCCTTTCCTATTCAGCTTTTGTAGAATTATTTTTAGCTTCTCAGACCAGACTCCAGGATAACGATGACACATTTCTATAATGTTTGTAATCTCCAGACACTCTAAAACAACGCGTGAAGGGGTGAGCGCAAACCATCGAACTCTTCTTTGCTTCAGCCTCCTTATTTGTGAAAGGGAGGTGACAGAAGGAACGCTCTGCCCTGGAGTGTTATAAGGAGCCGTGGCAAAGTAACACCATCGTTGGGATTTTTGGCACTGATTCTGTCTGGAAGTTTTTTCACTTTTACAGAGATCTTCCTTTCACACACAAACTGGAATAACCTTGCAGGCATAAGGAAGTGCTGCTGGAAAATCCCTTGAGACAATGGGCAGGTGAATTAACCAATTCCTTCCTCACCCCAGTGAAGTATTTACTTTCGCCTTGTTACAAAATATATATATATAAAATATTTGTGATTCTGGGCTAATCAGTAAATCTTTGAAGATCAGAGAATACAGAAAGACTCCCAGGTGCTTGACTTCAAGTATTACTCAGCTGAACAAAATCACAAGAACATTAAAGATAAAAAAAGTAATTTACTCCATTTTACTTCCAACACCACTATTGAATTCCAGTCCTGAAATCAGTCCAGCCATCCCTATTTTCTCAAGTGGCAGAGAAATCTTTCATGATAAATAAGCCACCAGTAAGGTGGCTTTCACAGCTGCCAAAATAGCAGAAATAAAGTGCCTCTCCTGTTTTGAAGTTTTCACTAATCTGTGACATCAGTGAGTATCTAATACATCAGTGCAGTTTAAGCTCTATAAAAATTAGGGGATTTTTTTCCTTCTCTTTTTTTTTTTTCTTATTGACAGCATATGAAAATCCCTCCTCTTTTCTGGGACAGCAGCATGGACTTCCACACAGAATGGGTGGTGTGGCAGCAAGGGAAATTCAGCATTAAAGCATATCCTCATTTACAGATGCCTCCACAGACACATCCTTGATTGTACTTTTATCAACTTTATATAGTGAAAGGTTGCAAACTGGCACTAAAATCTCAAATTTTTTCCCCTTAAGGCTGAACTTTTTACTTTACTCAGAAGAGAGGGGCTCTTTTCTCTGTAATGGGGTATATCTAGGGACCTGTAAATTAATACTTGTTTACTTATATCCTCCTGCTGTTTTGCTAAAATACATAGCAAGTACTCCTCTCAAGATGCATTAAGTATATCAGCATGTTGTTTGTTTTATAACCTGGGAGAAAGCATAACAATATAGCTTCTCACCAGGGTGCACACAATCTCCAGATTGAATAAAAGGAAGCAAACTGATTCTCAGAACACAGAGCTTCTGGGTAATCAGAATTGCAGATGCTTAAGTGAATGTTAAAACTCCTCACCATCAATCTGACCTTGCCTGTCTTATTATTGGAGAAGCTTTGCCAGAGCTGGATATACTTTGGGGAAGAAACCTGAAAAATAACCCTGAAAAACACATACTTGGGTGGACTAGAGCAATGTGCCATTTTCGTGTCAAGCTAAGAAAGCCAATACTAACCTCAAAGGCTAATAATTTTATGAAAATGCAAATATATTTAAATTTCTAAAAGTTAAACAGAAGAGCAAAAAGGATCAAAACATTAAATGTGGCTGAATCGGAATCCGCGGTTTCATTTAATCAAGAAAATGAACAAACCATGAATATCCTGTCCCTAGAAGCCAGCTCCAGGCACTGTGTCACTCGTGCAGGGTGCGATACCAGCAATGATGTCGGTACATCTCTAGGTGCTGCCCCTCACGTCCCTGCATTTCAGTGCTGGGATTAAACTGGTCTCATACTAGGGAGAGTAACAAGAAATTCCCCCAGGTGGTAAAAAGTCGTAATGATGAATGATTAGAGGCTGAAGCAAGGTCACTGCGACGAGAATAGTTTGGATTCAGCTCCCTAATCTGTCTGAAGTCAAGGCTGGAGGAAGAAGCTAAGTTTTCCCTTGTTCATCAGATAAATGGTCTTCCCAGACACTTTTGTTTGACACAAGGCAGGGAAGATCTCCCCAGCTTGATTTTGCTTCCCATTTTTTCCCCCCCACTGAATCGGCAGATGTGGGATCAAAAAAAGGATTGTACCTGAGAAAGATGCTGCCGTTGCTTAGCATCTACAAAGCTCAGGAGAAACTCCAACTCCCTTTCATCTCTCCCAGCTAGGACACTGAATGAGCGAGCTGCCACTGCCACGTTCCTCTTCTTCAGCTGCAGCAGAGCCAGGCGTGCACCAGCAAAGTCATCAGCAAGAGAGTGGCCAAATGCTTCCTGAAGGTGCTCAAAGGCCTCTTCATACCTTCCTGTCGGTTAACACCGGTACAAGGTATATAACCCGTTCCATGTGGAGCAAGAGGCATCAAGAAAACTTACTAAAGCAGGATTTAGGTAGCCTGTCCACATGTAAGGGTATTAATTACTTTTGCAAATTTCTCTTGAAAAGTACTATATGGCAATACACTTGCCATTTAGCATTCACGTTCTTTTGATTTACTGCTCGTTTGCTTAGTCTGATCAGCTGTGTAGAAGAACAGGAACTTACCATCTGCAATCAAAACATCTGTGTACAAGAGGTGATATTGTGCATCCTTGCAAATTTTAATTAGTGCTTTTGCAATCGTGAGAAGATCCCTGAGAGTTTCTTCTTTTGAAAGGTCTTCAGTAGCACCGAGCTCAGTTAATGCAGTCCTGCTATGCTGGAGAAGCCACTGAGTGATCAACCCTCGGGCATCACGCTTTAAAGACAGGATTGCCAGGATCACTACTCCTGCCTCCACTTTCAGCGCTGAGATCAAATCTTGCACCGCCTCCTGCATAAAAACAAGACCAAAAAATGAAATGGCAGCAACAACTATGCATTGAAAATGGGTAAGTGTAAGGCTATTGACTCTATCAGAAGCAGATAAATGATGCAAATATCTGACATGATTTTCAGGCAATGATATACTGCAATCTCCAAAGTCCTCTGTAACATTAACTGTACACACGAGGTTTTCACAGGTGATGGAGAGTGATTCACTATACCTTGAAACTGTCTTTTCTTTTTCCAACAAATTTTAACATTTTCCAACAAATGTAGTGGAGAGTTTGCGGCATTGCAAATCAATGCATGGCAGTGACAACGAGTAAGATCTATGATTAAGGTTTAGTCTTCCTCTCTCTAGACTTGGGTAAATAAATCAGTAAAGTCAAGTGGACTATTTATACCCTCAGAGAAATCAGGAGCCTTTCACTGCCCAAATTCTGTGAGAAACTCTTGATTTCTGTGAGTCCATGAGAAAGCCTGTGGTACCTTACGCTAATATTGCTTAATACCGCTAGAAAAATCACCAGCAAATCAATATTGTGATAATACCTTCTGCTGCTTCAGGGCAAGGTAAATGAATCCTCGCCCACTCAGAGCTTGCACGTTCCTAGGGTTCTCCTTCAGGATGGCGTTAAAATCAAAAATAGCAGTTTTCTTCTGACCAAGGCGCTCGTAACATCGAGCCCTGACGAGAAGGCAGTCTTCAGCAGAACCACCTGGAGGGCAGAAATGCAGCCATGCTTACTTGAAAGGTCTCAAGCCTACTGCTCTAAACCAGGGTGCAATAAATCCCGGTGTGTGCAGACCACTGAGCTCCGCTGAAGGAATCCTTAGAGATTTCAGTGTGATGGAATAGCAGCTGCGCAAATGAGAGCAGACAGCTCTAAAGGAAGATATGTGAGGATGGAGGCACAAGGCCATTTGGCCATTTTAATAAAGTGCAGTCAGAAGGTACACAATGTTTTGGACAAAACACTAATCCAGATGGGACTGACTAATTTACTTAATATGCACTGAGATTTGTGATACTCGGATTCTTTATTCTCTGCTTTCACGTAAGTGCTGCCCAAATAAACACACAGAGTTGACAAAGTGAATCATGGTCCATTCGTTCCCTGGCTGCAGAGCATAGATCTTTGTCATCCACATGCCCCTTCCTTTCAAGGCAATTTTGATAAGGATCTTAATATGCCCAGGGTTGCAATCAATAACTGTGGCATCCCAATACTGGATGATAAATCATCAGTGCCACTATAAATATTTTTTCATATGGAGGTCAGCAGATGCAGTGTCTTGCACAGCTGCTTGCAGAGATGAGACAGCAGACAGGCTCCTAGCAATTCTCTTACAGTAATGAGGCTTTTTCTTCCTCCTGATATGCTCCAAAACTCCTGTACCAATGATTGTTCTCACGCTGGAGCCCTACCAATTGGCTCTTATAAAGACAATATCTACTTCTTAACAAGCATCTGTTCTAGCAGGTGGGGAGTTGATAGGACGGAATGTAGGGGCTGTGAGATGAAGCCATCTCAAAGCAATTAACAGGTTTTTCCCATTTTCATAAGCCGGTGTCTCTTCTTCTCAAGGCTGCTGTCATAACATTTGCTCAGATTTGAAAGGCAGGTTTCCACACAAACGTGATTTTCCTTGGAACATGCCAGAAGCAATTCCACATTAGCCTGATCTCTCTCCTTAGGGAAAGCTGGGATAAAGATGCATGTAAGTGGGTGCATTCCCTCTTTTGCACTGTTGGAACAAGAAGGCAGGATGTTAGCTGCAATGACTGTATTTACAGCATGTCCAGATGAATTGCTACTTAAATTTTATCCTGTTCTTCACTTGCCAGTCTACTGTTTCTCATCAAATGACAGAGAAGAATTGTTTGGACATGCTTGTCTATCCTCTGATCTGATTTCCCAAAGAAGTAAATCTCTATCAGCATCTTGATAACCCTACCTGAAGCAATGATGGCAAAGGAAAGGTAGGCAATGGCCTCTTTGATGTCAGCATCCTCCTGTGTGTTCTCCAAGATGGTCAGCGCTCTGAAATGGCAGTGAGTTTGCATCAGCTTCTGGTCTTCGTCTTTAAAAATGTCCATGATTGGCAGGAGGCAGGAGGTATCTCCAATTCGGATCACTTTCTTTAGCAGCTTAACAACGTGAAAGAAAAAGGCAGAAGAGAAAGATTGGCATGAAAAGATAAAAGAAGTCATGCTAAAGCAGGGAAATATTAGTCTGGTGAGAGAAGTATGCTCTTACCCAGTGCTTCCCCACCTTTCACTGGGGCTTCAGCCAGCCACGGTCCAGCCAAGAACCACGAATCGCTTTTACTTAACTCCTCAGCTGATCCCAGTATAAATGCATGTTGGAGAAAACATAAATTCTTATCTTTTCTCACCACCGCTGCAGCTGTGGAAATCATCTTGGGTAAACACATAACACTGCCTTGCTTACTTTGGGCAGCATCTGCTCCAGACTGGCAGTTAACTGCTTTCATAAATACCGCTGAACCACAGGATGACTGCCCCAAAGACAGAAAGTTTCTGTGGATCAGAGGGGTTCCAGTAACTCCTTTTGACTGTAAAATTGAAGCCAGTGAATTAATGGAAAATCAGTGAAAGGCTGTGCCCTTCTGTTAGTATTGCTATTGGGAATCTGAGAAAAGTATGGATTCAAATCCACAAAATACAGTGTTCCCGGAAAAGAAACTTGCCTGACATGGTATCTTTGCCTCCATTCACTGGAGTGAAAATTACCAAGCACTTTTTTACTACATTTCCTAAGGAAATGAATCAAAAGGTGCTTCCTCCAATAAAGCAAGTATGCTTAGTATGTACTCAATATTCAAATCTGAGCCGGGATAAGAACCAAGTTATTTTGGTGCAACTGACACATCCTTTGAACGTAATAGTTTCTCTGTTTTTATTAACAGATACAAGGGTCTCAGGGCTGACAGCAGGTGGGACAAAAACGTTTTGAAGAGAAATTTTCAGTGACACATAACTTCCCTCTAGAATTCATGGCAGAAGCTGCCGATAGGAATCCAACTTCCAAGGGCCACATATGGACTCTATTGAAGTCATGTCATTCATTAATTGCCTTCCCAAAGGTAGTAAATTATACAAAACTTTTAATTTTCATAGGGAGTAGTGAAGTGGTGATGACAAAATCTCTTTATGGGTAGTGGAATTTATATGGGATTTTTGAAAATGCAATAGTTCCCTCTGATGGCAGAACCTGGTAATTCAGCTTTGTAATCCTTAGTAGGGAATTAACCTCTTGGTATCTCTTCCATGGTTTCAAGCACAAGTCATTAGCCACTAAAGAAAGAAAACTGATATTTGACGGTCTGGGTTTGTTTCTTTCCCTGCTCTCTCCTACAATGCTTCATTAGGATAATCAGTTAGGCAGTAGTTCTGCCTTCTTTTCTCTGGGGGAAAATTACCAATGCCATCGACATTGTCACCAGGGGCAGGATGCTCGGTCATGCTCTGCCTAGTTAAAATCTCTGACGAAAAGTGCCATTAAATAGCATGTGATGAATGGGCTAAGAGTCCTTGGGTGGCCTGTGATACAGACAGAAAGTCCAGCTTATGAGGCTTGTATTTAGATCTTTAAAGTTCTGCTAGAGGTCGAACTAGTTAAGCCTCATGTGAGCTCCAAGTTTCACTGGATCAACAGTCCTCACTGTTGCTGGTCATGGAGCTTCTAACAGCAAACTGTTTAGTTTTTAAATAGGAATGCATACAAACCACTGAGTAAGATGATGTAATTTATTTCATCCAGGTCTGGGTAAAGCACTGAGGAGCAGAAGACAAGCAGAGCACTCTGCTGTGGAACTGAAACCCCTTGTTTCTAAAGTTTCCCTCTTAAGTTCTGCCATGCATCTTCTGTATCAGCCAAAAGGGTTGATAACCCTCTTCACCATACACAGACACAGAAACACAGAATGTCAGGGGTTGGCAGGGACCTCAAAAGATCATCTAGTCCGGCCCCCCTGCCAGAGCACCATCGCTCTCACTCTGTGTGCTAGGCAGGTGCTCCTTACCTGGTTGCCATCATACGTGAAACCTTTCTTCAGCTGCAGAAGCGCCAGTCTAGCCAGGATGGGAGAACTTTGTGGATTTCTGGAGAGTGCTACTGAAAGCAGCTTTCGAGCTTCTTCTACACTGCCCATCTGGTAGAGAGCATCAGCACAAAGGATTCGTGATGTTTCATCAGAAGTGTCCAGCTCCACCAAGAGAGAAGCCAGCTGGTAAACCCCAGGCGTGTCTCTGAAGGAAAAATAAATAAATAAAGGGAAAGACCACCTTCAAGGAAAAACAGAGCCTCTTTGTCTCATCTGGAAGCTAAGAAACAGGTTATCAGTCCAGTATCAAAACAGATGATACATTTTACCATATCCATATTTTTGCTGCTTAATATCCGTATCATAATCCCTCTCTATAAAAACATGTTCTTAATATCCATATCATAATCCCTCTTTATAAACACATGCTCTTAAGCAATAGTGGCTCTAAAGCTTAATGATTCATATCCACTGTCACAGCTGATACCACAATGGGAAAAGGAAAAAGTAACAGTGACAGTAAAGAAAAAAAAAAAAGATTGACATTTCTAATGAAGAGCTGTGTTAAAATTTCTTTTAGAGCTGTGTTAACAGGCAGCTTCTTGTCCCAGGAGCAGTGACCTGTGTCTAAGGGGGCGTTTGTGTGTGCCCTGATCTGCGAGTTCAACGCTGAATGAGAGAGCACGTTTCCCTGCCCCTCAGTTCCCTGGAGTTCAGGCCCCAAGTACTGGGTGGGAAGTGCACATCGCGCAGAAGAGTACTGAAATTATTAAGGGACTAAATAAATGCAGGTATCAGTTGTAAAGAGCATCCACCTGAGATGAACTTTCACACACTGTTTCCTGCTTCAAATTTTATTTCAACCTGTTATGTTAATTAGCAATTTTAAAAGGTTCTCACTTATCTGAAGCAAGTACTCTCTCTACTACTCAAGCCACTCTCTTTCTTTTGGGAATCTGAACAGCCCTGTTTCTTTCTCCGCCCGCGGGCTGAACTGCCTCCTGGGTACCTCTTCTTTTGGAGCATCTTCTGTCCTTCTTCTTGGAGAACTTTCACCAATAGTCCTCTTTGGTTCCATGGCACGTAGGACTTGATGGTAAAGAGGGTTTCTTCCAGCTTTAACTGGCAAGCTGTGATATAATCCAGGGCTGCCAAGTAATAGCTGCCGCCAGAAATCCGAATAAGTCCGCGCCCACATAAGGCTTTAATACAGCTGTTAGGATGTGGGGAATCATGCTCAATGACCTTTTGAAAGTCCTGCAGGGCTTGCCGATGGTCATGAGTGTGGAGGGAGCAGAAGCCTCTCAATGCTAAGAGGGTGTTGTAGTAAGTTTTCTGCTCCGCTGCCAAGAGGCAGTCACAGGCATCCAGGGCAGTTCTGATGTGTCCATGCAGGAGGTGGCAGTCTGCTAGCCGAACACTGAGCTCACGTTTGGACCCTGGGGAGATCTGAAGGAGGAACTGGACTGTCTGGATGACAGAAGGGAGCAGTTCAGTACCATGATTGCCTCTGAGTTCAGTCCGAGTACGCACAGCCTCCCTGTACGCGGCAAACTTCACCTCCAGCACAGTTCTAGCCTGGTTTTCTATCCTCTCAACATCATGTGGTGAGAAAAGCTCTTCAAAGTGTTTCATTGCCTGGGCAGGGTTTGTTGCAAAGGCTTCTGCTAAATCCTGCACCATTTCCTGCATCCGTCCACCCAAGAAGAAATACGCAGCAGCCCGATCCAAGAGCAGACCCAAAACTTTCTCATCCTTGGGATTATTATCAGATGAGAAGCCCTTGAGAGCCTTGCTACAAACTGCCACACAGTCCTCAAATTTGCTTTTCTTAAAGAGGTAAGCTGCCTGCACCCTGCAAACCCAGATATCATCCGGTGCCACTGCAGAGAGGAAGGCGTAGCAGTTGCCCAGCCACTGGTCCAAGGAACTGCAGTCTGGGCTTTCTTTCTGATACGTTGAGAGATAACTAGAGAAGGCCTGGATGACCTGTGGCAGGTGTTCCCTTTGCCTGGTACACACATAGGCCACTGCCTCAGCCTGATTCATCACAAAGGCTTGGATATAGTCTGTGACTCCCTTCCTAACTTGTGTCCCTGACAGCACCCATGCCAACGCCCTCAGCAGCAGCAGTTCCACTGAATTCTTTGGGTTAGCCTTGAGCAGGGTATTGCATTTACTCACCACCTCCTCCGAGCATCCTTGCCTGAGTAGGGTCTCCAGTTTATATACTGAGGAGATCATATTGTTGGGACTTAGGGTAGAGAGAAAGACAGCAGCTATTCCCACACTGAGGGAGACAACAGCCAAGTTCTTGCTCTGGATCTTGGGAATCTGATTCTTGCCTTTGCACCACGTCTCCAGAGTGGCTACCACTTTCTCCCAGAGCCCTCTGTCTAAGGAGTTCACTTTCTGTACAGCTGTGGGGGCACTACAGCTGAAAGCAGCCACGTAGAAAGCAGTGGCTGTTGGTAACTCCTGCTGGGAGAGACGGTGGTCCCCTTCTTCGCAGAGCAGTGCAGCCAGCTCCTGAGGTGACATTTTCTGCGCTCCTATCTTCACCAAGCAGCACCACATGCGGAGCGCAGCTGTAAACACAAAACAAGCAATGTGAGGGGCTGTGCAGTGGCAGGTGGGTTTCTTTTTCACTTGGGGGGCAGCTTTTCAAGAGATAGATGTAAGACTCGGTGTTCTAGTGTAAGACTCGGTGCCAGGGATTTGTCATTGATGGGCTTCCTGGGGAGCAAAGCCACGAGAAGGATCACTATAGGGGTTCTTAGCCCATGTGAGGTTGGCCGGGAAGCAGCCACGCAACCGTGTAAGCGTTCCCTGCCCCACTGACCGTCCAGGCCTTTGTCCTCCCTGACCGAGAAACCATTCTGATAAATTTTTAACAATCGGTCGGTATGGCCTGTCCGGGCTGGCAGTGGACGAGGAGGAGACCGAACACTTTGCCAACCGCTTCGCCTGGGAACAGCAGGGAAGGGAGCAGGCAATTAGCGCCAAGGCCCTGCACACCTGG